TTTTCGTTGCCAGAGCCGTTTTTGCTGCCAAAGCTGTTTTTGCGTTTTTTGCACACATTTAAAAAAATCATCTTAGGCCTGAAGAGTATATAAAAACCCCCAAACATTTATATATTTTCTGAAAGCAGAGACCCTAAAGAATAAAATAGTGGTAGTTCCAATTTTTAATTATTTTACCGCAAAATTTTAGTAAAAAATACAAGTAAGTTAATTTTAGAGCACAAAAAAGCAATAAATTACCTTTTTTTGTAAAATATAAAAGATGAGGTTGCAGTGAGTAAATGGATATCCAACTTGTCAAACCTTAAATTTGTGCGCGCTCGTGAAATGACAACGAACTTCAGTACCCTATATTTTCTATAGGTGACACTTTAAAAGTTCCTTATATTTATTATTCATTTCAGGTACTTACATAGTGCCATCAATTTACGCAGCGCTTTACATATATACAGTCAGGTCCATAAATATTGGGACATCGACACAATTCTAACATTTTTGGCTCTATACACCACCACAATGGATTTGAAATGAAACAAACAACATGTGCTTTAACTGCAGACTGTCAACTTTAATTTGAGGGTATTTACATCCAAATCAGGTGAACGGTGTAGGAATTACAACAGTTTGCATATGTGCCTCCCACTTGTTAAGGGATCAAAAGTAATGGGACAATTGGCTTCTCAGCTGTTCCATGGCCAGGTGTGTGTTATTCCCTGATTATCCCAAATACAATGAGCAGATAAAAGGTTCAGAGTTCATTTCAAGTTTGCTATTTGCATTTGGAATCTGTTGCTGTCAACTCTCAAGATGAGATCCAAAGAGCTGTCACTATCAGTAAAGCAAGCCATCATTAGACTGAAAAAACAAAACAAACCCATCAGAGAGATAGCAAAAACATTAGGCGTGGCCAAAACAACTGTTTGGAACATTCTTAAAAAGAAGGAATGCATCGGTGAGCTCAGCAACACCAAGAGACCCGGAGACCACGGAAAACAACTGTGGTGGATGAGCGAAGAATTCTTTCCCTGGTGAAGAAAACACCCTTCACAACAGTTGGCCAGATCAAGAACACTCTCCAGGAGGTAGGTGTATGTGTGTCAAAGTCAACAATCAAGAGAACACTTCACCAGAGTGAATACAGAGGGTTCACCACAAGATGTAAACCATTGGTGAGCCTCAAAAACTGGAAGGCCAGATTAGAGTTTGCCAAACGACATCTAAAAAAGCCTTCACAGTTCTGGAACAACATCCTATGGACAGATGAGACCGAGATCAACTTGTACCAGAGTGATGGGAAGAGAAGAGTATGGAGAAGGAAAGGAACTGCTCATGATCCTAAGCATACCACCTTATCAGTGAAGCATGGTGGTGGTAGTGTCATGGCGTGGGCATGTATGGCTGCCAATGGAACTGCTTCTCTTGTATTTATTGATGATGTGACTGTTGACAGAAGCAGCCGGATGAGTTCTGAAGTGTTTCGGGAATATTATCTGCTCATATTCAGCCAAATGCTTCACAACTCATTGGACGCCGCTTCACAGTGCAGATGGACAATGACCCAAAGCATACTCCAAAAGCAACCAAAGAGTTTTTTAAGGGAAAGAAGTGGAATGTTAAGCAATGGCCAAGTCAATCACCTGACCTGAATCTGATTGAGCATGCATTTCACTTGCTGAAGACAAAACTGAAGGGAAAATGCCCCAAGAACAAGCAGGAACTGAAGACAGTTGCAGTAGAGGCCTGGCAGAGCATCACCAGGGATGAAACCCAGCGTCTGGTGATGTCTATGTGTTCCAGACTTCAGGCTGTAATTGACTGCAAAGGATTTACAACCAAGTATTAAAAAGTGAAAGTTTGATTTATGATTATTATTCTGTCCCATTACTTTTGGTCCCTTAACAAGTGGGAGGCACATATGCAAACTGTTGTAATTCCTACACTGTTCACCTGATTTGGATGTAAATACCCTCAAATTAAAGCTGACAGTCTGCAGTTAAAGCACATCTTGTTTGTTTCATTTCAAGTCTATTGTGGTGGTGTATAGAGCCAAAAATGTTAGAATTGTGTCGATGTCCCAATATTTATGGACCTGACTGTATATTGTACATTCACATCAGTCCCTAACCCTCAAGGAGCGTACAATCTAAACTCCCTAACTCACATCCATACAAATTTAGACAGGAGCCAATTAACCTACCAACATGTCTTTGGAGAATGGGAGAAAACCCACACAGGCACAGGGAGAACATGCAAACTCCAGGCAGGTGGTGCCGTGGTCGGGATTTGAACCAGCGACTCTAGTACTGCCAGACGGAAGTGCTAACCATTTAGCCACTGTGCTTATAGGTCACCAGTTTAGCATTACGGAAGAAATCTTGTGCTAGAACTAATTGCTTTCATTCTGGCGTGCGCGGTGATGTGTATCGCAATCGACGGTTTCATGCGTAGACACCCCAGCTTGTGCTTTTATGTTTGTACGTGCGTATATGTGGGGGTGGGGGGGCCTCAATATTTTTTGGGGGGGATGGTATGTGCTTGGGTGTAACCTTAATTTCTTAAAACAACAAAAAAAAACTTTTTTTTTAAACTTTTTTTTTTTTTTTTTTTTTATCACATAGGGGACAAAGTCCTGTATTTGATGATTTTTGGTGACAGGTTCTCTTTGAGACATCAAAGGTCTAAAAGACCCTACATGTCTCCCCTCTGCTCCACTGAATGTAATGTGGTGCACATCGCACCATATTACATTTTTTTTCCCGGGGATTGCATTACAATCTCTCAACGGGGACCCGTTTAAGTCGTCATAAAACCTCTTTTGTTTTTAAAAGCCCCAACCATTCCTAAAATCACCTCCGATTTAAATACAGTTTTGGTTAAAACTTTTTTTTTTTGCCTGGACAAGTAGATTTTCACGAGAGACAAGTAGATTGGGGTCCAATTTAGTCCCTGGACAAGAAGTTTTTTCAAAAGTGTGTGTGTGTTTATTTGTTGCTCGAAAAGGAGCACTTTGAAAACAGATCAGATCTCAAAAATGTCATGCTGGATATCTATACTGATATGGACTGGTTAATGTGTTCAGAACGTAAGGATGCCCCATTGTTTGATGGAAATGAAAATTATCAACCTACAGAGGACTGAATTCAAACGCACCCTGAAAATCAACGCCCAAAAAATTATGCAGCAGGCGAGTCCATTTTTCTGAAATGTCATTGCAGCAATTCAAAATGGTACTCGGTTTGTATGGCCCCCACGTGCTTGTATGCATACCTGACAACATCGGGCATGCTCCTAATGAGATGTCCAGGAGTATTTCCTTCCAGATCTGGATCAGGGCATCACTGAGCTCCTGGACAGTCTGAGGTGTGACCTGGTGTCGTCTGATGGACCGAAACATGATATCCCAGAGGTGTTCTATTAGATTTGGATCAGGTGAGTGGGGGGGCCATTCAATGGTATCAATTCCTTCATCCTCCAGGAACTGCCCGCATACCCTCACCACATGAGGCCGGGCATTGTCATGTACCAGGAGGAACCCAGGACCCAATGCACCAGCACCCACTGACAATGGGTCCAAGGATTTCATCCTGATACCTAATGGCAGTCAGGATGTCATTGATTAGCCTGTAGAGGTCTGTGCGTCCCTCCATGGATATGCCTTCCCAGACCATCACTGACCCACCACCAAAACAGTCATGCTGAACGATGCTACGGGCAGCATAATGTTCTCCACGGCTTCTCCAGACCCTTTCACATCTCTCACATGTATGTGCTCAGGGTGAACCTGCTCTCATCTGTGAAAAGCACAGGGTGCCAGTGGCAGACCTGTCAATTTGGTGTTCAATGGCAAATGTGAATATCGAGCTCTATGGTGCCGGGCCCATTAGAGGACGTCAGACCCTCAGGCCACCCTCGTGAAGTCTGTTTCTGATTGTTTGGTCAGAGACATTCACACCAGTGGCCTGCTGTAGGTCAATTTGTAGGGCTCTGGCAGTGGTCATCCTGTTCCTCCTTGCACAAAAGGAGCAGATACGGGTCCTGCTGATAGGTTAAGGGCCTTCTACAGCCCTAAAATCTCCTCCCTGCTCTTGAGACTGCTGGAAGAAACAGCAAACCTTCTGGCAATGGCACGCATTGATGTGCCATCCTGGAGGAGTTGCACTGTCTGTGCAACCTCTGTATGGTCCAGATATCTCCTCCTGCTACCAGTAGTGACACTGACCCTAGCCAAATGCAAAACTAGTGAAAAACTGAAAAGATGAGTAGGGAAAAAATGTCAGTGACCTCCACCTGTAAAATCATTCCTGTTTTGGGGGTCTTCTCATTGTTACCCTTCTAGTGCACTTGTTGGTAATTTAATTAACACCAAAGCAGCTGAAACTGATTAACAACCCCCTCTGCTACTTAACAGACCAGATCTATATCCCAGGAGTTTAATTGACTTGATGCTATACTCTGATTAAAAAAAAGTTCCTTTAATTTTTTTGAGCAGTGTGTATGTTGCAATTAGTGGATCGTGGATGTAATGCCAGGCTCCTGCACACTCTCCCTCCAGCTTTCTGCCTGTACCTCTCTACAGGCTTTTAGTTAGAAAGCTGGAGGCAGAGCAAATGGACTATAAGCGTGCTGTCCCGCACACTCGTAGCCCTTTAAGAACTACGAGTTGTCTGCTGAGGTGGGGCACGGGTGGTGAGGGGGTTTGCTGGAACCTGCGTTACACCATAAATACGGGTGCAACATGTTCTAAAGGTGAACTTAGCCTTTGATGAAAGTTCTTGCCAGAGTGAGAGGCATTTTCAGTTGTTGGACATGGGATGGTTACTGCCAAATATTGCTGACACTGGTGATTTGCTAAAATGCAAAGTAGTTACAGCTCTGTCTTTTGTAGAGTTTCTTGATTTATTTGGTAAGTAAAAGTGTGTTAATATGTCTAGTGTTTTGGCTTTTTTTTTTTTTTTTTTTTTTGTGGTAACTTTTTTTTTTCTTCTTCTTCTAAACTTCAGGTTTTCTGTTAATCGAAGGATATTTGTTGTTGGTTTTGCACTCTATGGCTCAATACATGGTCCCACTGATTATCAAGTAAATATACAGGTATGTTGATCTTATTTTGTTGGTATGCTGAGAAGTCACAAAGGTTTCCTAAAGTAATCTAAACTGCTTATATCAGAGATGGGCAACCTTTTGAGTGTAGTGTGACGAAAAATGTTTTGTGAAAAACTGTGAGTGCCAGACACAGTGGGTATAAAAAAAGAATCACCCCCTTTATATTAATCACATTTTGTTGCTTTACAGTCTGAAAGGAAGACAGACCGTTTTTGTTTTATCCAGCTGTATTTACTCAGTGCAACTTATAAGTTATAATATACAAGTGATAGATATAACACCAATATGTCAGGAAAAAAAAAAATGCATGAACAGTCACTGAGTTGGAAAAAGGATCTCCCCCCCCCCCCCCTCCTAAAAATGACTTATAAATTGAATCAGGTGTAACTAATCACCTTCTCAATGGCGCATAAAGCCTTTTGACTTTCAACTGTGTTCAGCTGTGGTCATTTTGATTAGCTCAGCATGAAAAGAGCTTTTCTGGAGCATTTCAGTCTCGGTAGTGCAACTGAAGCAAACAATCAACTATGGGTGGCAAGGCACTGCCAAAAGATCTCGTGCATAAAGTTGTGAACAGGCACAAGTCAGGAGATGGATACAAAAAAATGTCAAAGTCTTTATTAATACCTAGAAACACAGTGAAGTCCATTATTAAGAAATGGAAGGTATTTGGTACAACACAGACCCTCACTGGATCAGGACGTCTCTTCAAACTGGATGAAAAAGCCAGGAAGGAAACTGGTCAGAGAGGTTGCCAAGAGGTCTACAGCAACTCTGAAGCAGTTGCAGGAATTTATCACAGAGTGGTCATTGTATCCTTGTGACAACAATATCACAAATTTTCCACACGTGGCTTGTATGGGAAGGTTGCAAGGAAAAAGCCACTCATCAAGAATGGCCATATGCAGTCACAATTGCAGGTCACGAAGGTGTTTGTTATGGTCAGGTGAGACTAAAATTTAATTATTTGGCCTCAATACCAAACAATATGTCTGGCGGAAATCCAATACAGCTCACCATCAAGATAGAAGGAATAAAGGATGAGACAAAATACCGTCAAATTCTTGAGGAAAATCTGCTGCCCTCTGCCAGAAAGTTGTCAATGGGAAGAAGGTTTTCCTTCCAACCTGACAATGATCCAAAACACACAGCAAAAATGAGCACACAGTAGCGGAAGGAGAGTTCAGGGTCAGTAGTAGATAATGCAGAGTTCAGAGGTTCAGTGGTGAGACACAAACTATATACCCTGAGGAAAGTGACTGACTGTGTTTTTACTGCAACACTAGTTGTAATTAAAGTGATTATAAAGAGTCTATTAAAAAAACAAAAAAAAAAAAAAACATGGTATACTTACCTGCTTTGTGTAATGGTATTGCTCAGAGCTGCCTGAGCCTTTTTCTGGGGTCCCCAGCCGACGTTCTTGGCTGCTCTTCTTCTTGTGCTCCCATAGCAAGCGGCTTGCTATGGGGGCACATGTGCTGGCACAACCCTAACTGGGCTATGTGTGCGTCAATAAATACACACTGCGTTGCTTGACCCCGCCTCCCACTCCCTCCTATCATGATTGGACTGACAGCAACAGGAGCCAATGGCAACTGCTGCTTTCACCCAAGTTTGTGAGCGCGAAGAGAATAATTAAAGCCAGACTTTACAGTACACTGGTAAGTGTTTGTGGGGGGATGGACACTAGTATTGGAATGGTTTTTTTTTTTTACCTCAATGCAGAGAATACATTAAGGTAAAAAAAAAATCGTGTGATCATGGATTTTTTTAATTTTTTTAATTTTTTACAGTTTGCTTTGCGTGAGAAATAAAGATCATTTCTCCTGCAGTGCAAAGCTTGCTGTCAGAGCCAAACTCATTCATGAACTGTCATGAATGAGTTAAGTTTTGACAGCTCAGGATAGTGATCTGTGATTGGCTGGAGCTGGTCACATGGTACTGGGTGCCGTGATTGGCCCCATGTATCGTGACAACTGTGGGCCAATCACAGCTCACTAGGAAGAGAAGCAGAGCTGTTATGAATGAGAATGATTCATAACAGCTTTTCTTACATAGGGACCATGTGATCGCATCGTCGAGGAACCTGAGAATAGGAGGATCGGGGCTGCTCGGTGCAAAACTCACAATTGCAACTGCACAGAGCAGGTAATTATAAGATGTTTGGTTTTTTTTTATTTTTTACATTTTATACCTTTTACAATCACTTTAAACTTAGTGTCGCATAATTTTGTCCTCAACTTAACTTAACTAACCTACCTTAGAATTAAGATTTGGTGATTTCCATGCTCATGCCATTGCTTGTTTTGTAGCCATGAAAATATAGGAAATCGAGGTGTGAGAGGATGTCTTTTATTGGTCTTTAGAGGAGGGCTTCCCACAGGTTTTTACTAAGGTTGATTTGCATTCTTGATTGTATTATAGTGTACACTCTTATGAAAAAGCAGCAGGCTTTTGGACAGGATAAGTAGGGATATGTTTAGAAATATGTTTAGAAATTCCGCTGGTGTGAAGTACCATTGAGCGTGGACTTTTAGTTTTCTAAGGCTTGTATGTTACAGCAAGAACATTTAGAGGTTGCCCAGTCCTCAGGAGAAAAGGTTTCACTCAAAAGCTGTTAATTTTTCCATACATTTTCATGCCATCCACATTTACTTTTTTTTTTTTTTTTTAAATCACGTTTAACTAAAACCGCAATTGTAATATTAATGTGATACCGACGTAATCCTAAAACGTCAAATGCACCGAATGAACAGAACCATTATTTGGAAAAATGCTGAGTGTATCTTTTTGTGTCTGTTCCCTACTGCAGTAGTTATTAATTTGAAACCTCTAATCAATATGAATTGCCTATCTATAAAATTTCAGTGTCCAGAACAGATGGTGGGCTTTGCCTTGGAGGGGTTTTACAAGTGACCCTGAGACAATCTGGGAATTTCTGATAATCAGCCCAGCTGAGGTAAGCCTTTTGCTTACATTTTGAGATATCAGAATTCCTAGATCGGCAAGGCATTTTTGGGACTTTTTACACCCCTTAATCAAACTGTATTGATTGGTGGTTATATGTTTTGTTGTCACTATCTACTGTTCATTGGAGTGTTATAGAGAAGAAAAGGAAGACTAGTGCTGGTTAACAGGTTATGTGAAGCACAAATCTGTTGTGATGGTAGATCTAGAGGTAAGAGGGTACAGGCACGATAAGAGAGAAGACTGGCACTAATAATGTTTTCATTACATGTTTGCATTCCTTCAAGTCCTTATTAGAAATAGCCTGCCTATGTAACGCCTCTTTGTTACCATAAAAGTACAATTGGAATATTAATGTGATACCTAAGTAATCACGTGTATACAAAAAACCTCAAATGCGCTGAATGAGCAGAACAATAATTTGGAAAGATGCTGAGTGTAACTTTTTGTGTCTGTTCCCTACTGCAGTAGGTATTATTAATTTGCAACCACTAATCAATATGAGGATAGGAGATGCTATCTATAAAATGTCAGTATTAATGTCTAGAACAACTTGAAGTTGCACAATTTCAAAGTCGCGTGTCAGTGCGACTTCAGGTGCAGCTTCATGCACAGATGTCAATGCAAGGCACACCAGAAAACTGCAAAAGTAGTGCAGGAGTTGCACCGATTAAAACTGTTCATTTGCCTATCACAGGGTTTGAACTGTCAAATCGCATGACAAGTCGCTTCGGTGTGAACGGGGGCTTAGGGTCAGTTTTCAGGTTTAGTCAGGTTGTGTAGAGTATGGCTTATTCTTTTCTGCAGGAACCCCACAACATACACTACTAATCTGTTTCTTTGTGCTGATACCTAATGTACCAGTTCATTCTACTTTATTTGATGTTAAATTAGATATGAAGCATTTTATGCAAACACTTTAAACTAAATTTTACTTTACATTTTTTTTTCTTTTTTTTTCTTTTTTTCCTTTTTTTCTTCCTGTTGGGTTTCTTAGATTATTCACACTGACAGCAACACCGTGCTAGGACAGAATGACACAGGCTTTAGTTGTGATGGTTCCTCCAGCACATTCAGAGTGATGTTTAAAGAGCCTGTTGAAATACTTCCAAATGTTAACTACACTGCCTGTGCCACACTAAAGGTATGCTGCTTTTGACTTTCCTTTTGACTTTCCTAAAAACTGGGATATCCCTGTTCCAAACTCAACAGATTCATTTTTTATTTTTCCATGCCTCTTAGAGTCCTATGTAATGCCTCAATTTGTTTAAATAGCATCTTGAAGATTTTCAGTCTGGAGCTATTTTTTGACAGAAGTAACAGCTTTCTACTGCACCTTAAAGGGGGATTAAATCTCCACAAAAGTAAATAAATAAAAATGAGCCTCAGGAATGTTTATGCAAAATAAGCTTGTATGTACAGCATATTAGCACCCTTGTGGTAAAATTACCTGGATAGTGATCCCCTCCAGTGCTGCTCTGTCAGCCCTCCTTTCAGTCACTGGTGCTGCCATGTTCTCCTGGTCCTGAATCTTCAGCTGCTTGGTTGGTCGGGCTATGATGACATCACTCCCATGCATAGGAGGCACATTACATCGCAGAGTGGTGCCCTCAGTGTACGCTGAGGTACGCATGCCGCGGCTTAGTGTACACAATGCTGACAAGCAGCGAGGAAGGACTCTTCTGTCATAAAAATATTATGTGTCATATTTATTGGTGGGGGGAGGGTTGTTTAATTCCACCTTAACTAGTTATGTGAAATCCTTCAAAGCCTAAAATGGTGGCAAATGCATCAGCTGTTAGATGGTGTGAAACAAAAAAGGCATGTCTTTATCTTCAAGAGGAAGTCCACTTTTAGTAAATTTGTCCTTCAATTCATCCAACCCTCTGAGTCCTTTCTTCCTACCATAATAAATACTAGCCTTCCTCCTCATTCCCCAGTCTTCTTTGAAATACACTGACCGGCCACTTTATTAGGTACACCTGTTCAATTGCTTGGTAACACAGATTGCGAATCAGCCAATCACATGGCAGCAACTCAATGCATTTAGACATGTAGACGTGAAGACGACTTGCTGAAGTTCAAACCATCAGAATGGGGAAGAAAGGGGATTTAAGTGACTTTCAATGTGGCATGGTTGTTGGTGCCAGGCGGGCTGGTGTGAGTATTTAAAAAAACTGCTGATCTACTGGGATTTACACGCACAACCATCTCTAGGGTTTACATAGAATGTTCTGAAAAAGAGAAGATATCCAGTGACCTGCAGTTGTGTGGACGAAAATCAGGTCAGAGGAGAATGGGCAGACTGGATCGAGATGATAGAAAGGCAACAATAATTCATGTCAACATGGACCAAAATCTCTGAGGAATGTTTCCAACACCTTGTTGAATCTTTGCCATGAAGAATTAAGGTAGTTCTGAAGGCAAAAGTGGGTCTAACCTGGTACTAGCAAGGTGTACCTAATAAAGTGGGCGGTGAGTATATATCTTACACGTAACAGTGAACAGGGCAGCAGCACTCCTACACAATAAAGCCTGCCGTTTATGGCTCTCATTTCAGCCTAGCCATGGGTGGCCCTGTTGGCATTAACTGGCTTGACAAAGTTTGTTTTAAAAAAATTTGAAGGAGCCAGATAAAAAATTGTCAGAGTACCTGCATCCAATTAGGTGTAGGCTGTCTGAATGCAATAGCCAGCATTTCTCCACCCATACTGTATAGTGTGGATGGAGAAATATATGCATGTATGGCTAGCCTAAGAAAAGCTGAAGGGGATGTTTTGAAAGAGAGGTTGTGCTATTCAACTATGCAACAAAACAAGCTGCACTTGGTGGTGAAAGGACTTTTATTACATGTCAGTTTCACTAAAAGTGTATTTGTCCTTAAAAGCCCAACTCATGGATGTCACTTCTTTTCAGCCTAATCCTGACTGAATAAGCACATTTTCCACCTCCTTTCATAAATTTTCTCAGTTCGAAGCTTCCATAATTCCACTCACACAGCAGACCTCTAGTATAGTGTGCAGGCACACTGCAGGCTATGTCAGAGACTGCACTGTACAAACAAGGGTGAACAGCAAAGCAATACCTTACTGGACACTTTTATTGAGCCTTACTTGACCCTCTTGTTGAGACAGCAAATACTATAGTGATGCTGCTGTCACTTTAAGCGAGCAGAATTTCTGAGACCGAGGAAATAGCAGATGCTCATTATGATCCTTGCATACCTCTTCAGCCCACTAGTTATGCTACCTGCAACAACTGCAGTCTTTAGGTGTAGCAGTATAGAATAGAATTTGGGTCTCAGCAACTACCCTGCCTATTGGAGGAGTCCCTGACTACACGGTCTAAAATACTAGATAAATCCTCGGTTTCTCACCCAGTCTGCAGGGGCTTTCAAAAACTGACTCAAGTATGAGCATTGCCTGGAAAACACAGGGTCATTCAGGTATTGTACTTACTTAGGCAGTATCTCCATAGTGATATTGAACTCTCTGAGACCAATCCTTGACTCTGGAAGATTGACAGCATGAAGAGTTTCCTTCAACTGACTGCAGCAGATGTATCAAGATCAGGTTTGGGAGCCGTAACTCACATCCAAGATGTTTCCAAACAATCAAGGGATTGAGGACATCAGTCCAAAGTTGGCCATAGGTGGGTTAAAATTTGATCAAAGCTTGGCCATCTGTTCAACAGAAGGCGATTGTTAGATCAACTTTTGTTAAACAGAAATGTTGGAAAATTTTTCTCGATTAGCTGTTGCAGCCACCGATCAATGTATCAGACCTGCTGTCAGAATACAATGTCCCAGTGGGGACAATTCCTCCATTCCCCTCGCTTGTATGGATGGAGGGATCTGTTGTTTTTTTTTGTTCAGCAGCTTGCTGACTGATCAAAAAAAAAAAAAAAAAACAAAAACAAAAACAAAGTCTCTATGGTCAACTTAAATCCTTGGCACTGATAGTGCACAAATATGTGGCCTCTCGGCGGCTGGACCTGGATGCGGAGAGGCTGCGTATTTGCGTGCCCGATATAAACAAACGTGCTGATAGCATGCGCCCTGCACGCTCCCAGCACAGTTATGGGTGCCTTACAGAAAACCTTTCCAATCATGTGACGGCCAATCACATGACCCTAAACCCCCACCTACCAGGATGCACCAGCGCCAAGGGGTTAAGGAAATTAAACGCTCCTACGTGGCCTTTTGTGTTCCACGGTGATTTGACACTTCGCATCTCTTCTAAGAGAAACCTGGAAAAGGAGTGCTCAGGGTCTCTTTTTTTTTTTTTTTTTTTTTTTTTTTTTTTTTTGTAGGCATACTTGTGTCCTCAGCATCCAAACAACGTCTCAATTTATCACCATAATTGCTTTAATTCTTCATGACTCTTTTTATGTTCTCAGTCAACCAGTCTTCAAAATGAAATTCTCTTCTGCCTCTTTTATTCTTCAAAAATATACAAACCACACATAGTGCATTACCTTTATCATTTAGTGACTAAAAAAACTTAAGTGTACTCACAAAATAGTGTTCAAAACATGCCCGAAATTAAACCAAGTGTCACTCCTCATATCGTATCTGTAATTCCTACCCTTACCCTCAGTGTATAAATAGCTTGCTTTAAATTAATTCTTGACTCGTGAATTCCTCCTTCAAAATTTCTTCCCATAGGAAATAAAGCCCTCCGAGAAATATAAATCCCATAAAGTGTAATAATGTTAACAAATAATCTTAATATCATGCCACTCATTGCTCCCTTAATATCAAACCAGTGATCACCAATTGGGTGAGACAGCCAAGTGATCCACCACCTTTCAGTCCATGCACCTTACCTTTTTTTTTTTTTTTTCATTCACTAAATAATAAAGGTAATGAACTGTGTGGTTTGTATATTTTTGAGGAATAAAGAGGAAGAGGAAAATTTTATTTTGAAAATTGGTTGACTGAGAGCATAAAGAGTCATGAAGAATTAACAAAGCATTTATGGTGATAAATTGAGGCGTTATTTGGACGCAGAGGAACTTTTTATTTTGATTTGGACTTCCTGGGGAGGAAGGGATATCTTGGCGACCAGGAGTGCACTATTACTATTATACACATACTGTTTCTCCTAGTGGTGCACCGAAATGAAAATTCTGGTGTCGAAACCGAAAATTCAAAATGCACTTGGCCAAAAACCGAAATGCACAATTTTTAAAAATGAATATATATTTTTGGAAAAAAATATACTTTGATTAAAAAAAAAAAAACTATATATATATACCCCAATTTTTTGTAAATTCTGAAAGAGGATGTTACGGTGAGTAAATAGATACCCAACAAGTCATAATTTAAAATATTGCGAACGCTCGTGGTATGGCGTGAAACTGGGGTACTTAAAAAAAAAAAAATCTCCATGGGTGATGCTTTAAAAACGTCTACAGGTTAGCAGTGTAAAGTTACAGAGGAGGTCAAGTGCAATAATTATTGCTCTTGCTTTGACGTTCATGGCGATACCTCACGTGTGGTTTGAACACCATTTACTTACGTGGACATGGCCTACGTATGCATTCGCCACTACGTGTCAGGACGGGGGCACTTTAAGCTTTTTTTTTTTTTAATTAAATTTTTTTGGGTTTTTTGTTGATTTTTTGCACTGTCCTTAAAAAAAAAAAAAAATTTCATCATTTTTTTATTCTTATCGCAAGAAAGAATGTGATCAAAATAATTAGTGACAGGTCCTCTTTATGAAGAGATATGGGGTCAATAAGACCCCACATCTCTCCTCTGCAATAAAAAGCATTGATCTAGTGCTTTAAAAAAAATAAAAAATTTGCCGGAACCGGAATTGACATCTCTCCAGACCTCCAAAGGCATAGAGATGAGTGAAGGCCATCTTTACTTCATTCATCTCTATGCCCAGCGCCGGGATCGCTCGATGGTTTCTCAGGTAAGGCTGAGAACTACCGAGCGGTGGTCGGTGGGGGCAGGTAGTGGTGAGGGGCAGAGTTTTTTCGGCACCTGTATCTGTTTTTTTTTTTTTTTTTTTTTTCATTTTGGCCGAAAGTGGTGTTTTCAGCCGAAATATTTAAGCCACTGAAATTTCGGTGCACCCCTAATTTCTCATTTTGGAGTTTAGTTGGTTTGTATTTATACCTGTGTCCTGCTTC